CATTCTGGTCTAAACTTTTCCGAATTAGCCCGATCGGAAAATCCCGAAGGGTGATTTTCCTAGCAAAGATCCCATATAGCAAACATATTATTAGTAATAAAGTTACAAGAAAGTTAACAGAAAGAACAAAAATATAATTATTGTATGATTAATATATATTCAAAGTATATTTATTGTATACTATTTTAGATCATATAATATTGTTAATATATTGTAAATATATTGTAAACATATTTAGCAAAAAACATAGGTTTCTGTAAAGTATATATAAAATATATATGCATATACAGTATATACTATATCCTTTGACTAATTTAACCAATACTAAACCCTTTGACCAACTGGTCAAATTGGTCAAACTGGTCTGGTCAAGCTTGACCGGTCCGTGCCAAACCTGATTATAACTAATCCTACCTTACCCTATAACTGCACCCTAGCCCTAAATTTTAGCCAAAAACTTATTAACATTAACATTAACATTATAAACACTATAGGTGCATTTTATATTAATTATAAAAATATAAAATTTTAATAAAATTTATATTAAAATATTCCCTAAACTTATATAACAAATATAATTATTTAAATATTTATATTAAATTAAAAAAAATTTTACTTATAACTATATTGGTGTAGTATTTAAAAAAAATTGAAGTTTTTAGTTGAGCGCAGTATTTAAAAGGTTGCTTTTTAGCTGTGCGCAGTATTTAAAAATTTTTCAATTTTTTATATTCAGATTCAGTTAACATTATTTAAATCGCACTAAATCGCACTTTCATTTTTTAATCATCGAATATTTTATACATACCGCACGCATAATTTACAAATTCTTATCGCGTGTCCCTTAGGGTTGTTGGTGAAATAATTTCACCACTATTTGGTTGAATCAGCATCTCTAGTTGTGGGCATGGAAAAAATTTTGGGCATGCCCCTATATATAATAATATGCCATATAAAATATGGGCATGCCCTGGGTAGTGTTGTAAGCCGACTAGGACAGCCGCGGCTAAGCCGGCTTAGCTGACTAACGCTAAGTCAGTCGAATTATGATAAGTTCCGAAAAGGAAAATGAATAAACATAAAATATAGTGATCGGGCCGAGAAATTCTGTCCGTTATAATGAATATCCGCTATAGCGTTATATAGTATAATAATAAAAATTTTGGAGAATTACTCTGTTATAACGAGGTATCCGCTATAACGAAGTCCGTTATAACGAGGGTGGAGAAAATTTCCCGCTTAGCGATGTTTTAGTCAGCTGGCTTAGCCAGCCGACTAAAGTCATGTGGCTTACGACACTAGCCCTGGGACACCACGCCCACAACCCTAGTGTCCCTGCCTACATTGAATACTCCAACGTGATCGAATTTTTTTTACACGCCCTTTTAAACTTACGCGTTTGTGTAATCTGATAATCGTATGTAAGATAGTAATATAAGTAGCATTATCTTTCGTGTTTAAACGCTATAATTATATAATAAACTTCTTTTTCCTTCGCGTTTTTACGATTCTTGGAAGTAGTGTGCAAAATAATCAACCTATTTGCACACGCTCTTACGTCAATGTTTTAAAATCTCTACGAAAAGTGCCGCCTCGTTTGATCGTCGAAACTATACGGTTGTTAAAAGGACAAGGTTTCGTGTAAAGGTATTCGATTACCACACCTATTCTATTCATAAGTACACTTGCGTTTTCTAACATTTTACTGTTTTACGTGACGTCTATAACGGCTACGGGAAATCGAATGTTTATTTCACAAATGCCGAATGGAAGCATGATTCTTGGATTCGTTCTGGTTAATGCTTAGGGTTTAATAAGTTTCTTTAACCAAGTCTACTGATTCTGAATTTATGAAAGAATACTATACCTGAGTAGATACTAAAGATCTGTTTGGTTAAAAAGTTAAGAGATCAAATATTCGTTTAATTTTCGTTAACCGAAGTTTTTCAACATGTAAATTTATTACACTAATATATTTTTATTAAAACATTATTCTTACGCGTTAGTGAAGTGTATAGAACGAAAAACTGGGTTGGAAGGTTTTTAACTATGAATTTATAATGCATATGGAAGGACGTTAAAGATCAAGAAATTATACGATAAGAAATAAGAAATTAAAGTCAGAGAAATCGAAAATAAGATGTAAGTATAATAAGATAAAATAATTTATATGATGGTGGCTTTGGCCAGGTGCTTTGTGCTTTACTGGATGCGTCTGGTAGGGGGATCCACAAGTGCCGAATTAGATGCATTGTTTTCTAGATGCGTCCGGTTAACTTATGGGGTGTATCGATCTAAATTTCTTTGGTAAAGGTTAGCTGATTCCGAACGAGGAATCAATGTATTTTCCTTTACACTAACAAAGAAATTAAGAGGTGGGGAAGAAGAACAAAACTCTTTCCGGTTCACCCCTGAAAATCATTGACAATAGTAAAAAGTAAACAAAATCTTTGCAAGTTTTTAGTA